GTAGAACTGTGTTGTGTGTTGTCAGTAGAACTGTGAACTGTACTCCTCCTCAGGGTTTTCAGTGGCTGATTTTTTGGAAGTAGATCGCCAGGCCTTTCTTCCGAAGCATCTCAAATGAACTCAGACTTTTTGAGTAGTAGCTGAGGGTGTTAAAGGTTCGCGTCTCCCAGGGACTCCAGAAAATAATGGAGTAATAATAATTTTAAAATAACAATGATTTTGTTGAGAGCCGTCAAGTCAATTTCAACTCACACCACCTGATGTGATGGAGTAGACCTGCTCTGTGGGGGTTTTCTTGGCTGTAATCCTGATGGAAGCAGATTACCAGGTTTTTCTCTTGCAGAACACCACTGGGTGGGTTTGGTCCCCCAACCTTTTGATTAGGAGTAAGTGTTTAGCCATTGCCCTAGCAGGATCCTTAAAAAACAAACCCAGATAGTATCGTAATAATAGAGTGACACTAAGAATAAAAAATAATAATGAGTCTAGCTCTCTGCACCTGACTTATTTAGAAAAAGTGAAGAGAGACTTTTCTGTGGGGTGCTCATTCATTCAGTTGCGCAGTCAAGAAACATTCCCAGTTTCTGGACATGTTAAGTTGTTAGTTTTTCTACTATTTCAACCAACATTCAGGAACAACCATCTACAAACATGCCCTGGCAGGAGAATTTCAAAGCCGTCAACTCCTGAGTCTAAGGAACTATAATTTAAAAACATTTCAAAGATGTTCATTAATTCTGTAAATCCTTTCAGTCTTTGCTCCCACCAACAGAGCATTACAGTGCCTGCTTTCTCATCCTAGGTGGTGCAGTGGGTTAAGCATTGGGTGCCAAAAAGAAAGGATAGTGGTTAAAACCCCACCAGCTTTATCTATGGGAGATAAGACACTCTGCTTTGTAAAGATTTACTGCCTTGTAAAGATTTATAGCCTCCGAAACCCTATGGGGCAGTTCAAACTCACCAGCTGCTCCAAGGAAACCCTACACAGGGTCGGTATGGGTCGGAACCGACTCGAAGGCACTTAACAGCAACAGCAGCAGGCTCGGCTTTGGGTTTTGCGTTGGTGGTTCAACAAAGTTGGTGGTTCAAACTCACCAGCGGCTCCTTGGAAAGCCTATACAGGGTTGCTTTGAGTTGGAACTAATTTGACAGCACTTACCAATATCCTCACTCCTAAGCAGTGTGCCTCGTTTTGTCAGCCTGTCTTGTAGATTGAGGACAGAGACCCACTGAGACAGGCTCACCCAGACTTTGGGTCCAGAGAGGAGCTGATCACCTTCAGTAATCAAAACGTGTCTCTTTCTGGTCTTCTCTTGTCTTCTTCTCTGCTTGCTCCCTTCTTTCTTTCTCTGCAGATTTCTGCTTTCCAAGTTCTTGGCTGCCCCCACCCCAAGTCCTGTGCTAAGCCCTTTACCCTACCATCTTGTTTAGGCCTCACAATCACCCTGGGAGGTAGGTACCATTGACACCCATTGTATAGATAAGAGACCAGAAGGGGGGATATGTCTCTGGCCCAATAGTCAACCAGCTAGGTAGCAGTCTGGTAACCTTTTGAGCCTGGATCCCTCTAGCTTCCAACCCATCCTCTTTATTCACCATGTCAACTGGGAGACCAAATCAAGCAACAGAACATCTGGCGGTGGTGATGCACATGTGGATCTGTGCATCTCGATCTCCTTGTGTAGAATGCGGAGGTTGGCCTCCAGCAGTGACTTTCAAATAACACTTCTTTACAAAACCTCGCCACTGAAAACAGTGAGGATAAGTAAGTACACATAGTTCGATTAGAAGACACCGATTTGAATTGCATGTTTACATCTCTATGTTTCTAGTGTCTTTGGTATTTTGTTGGGGTTACATAGAAGCAAAGAAAATCTTGATTCCCATAGCTAAGTGGTTATAAATGATTAATAATAGGTGGATTGGCCGGTTTTGTTTTTGAAATTAGCTCACCTTATGATCGTAGGATACTCTTGAATTCATAGACAGAGCCAAACCAGTTGACATCAAGTGGTTCCATCTCAGGACGCCCCATAGGTGTTAGAATAGACCTGTGAGCTGTAGCGTTTTCAGTGGCTAATTTTTCAGAAGTAGATCACCTGGCCTTTTTTCTGAGGTACCTCTGGGTGGGCTCGAACCGCCAACTTTTTGGTTAGTAGCCAGGCATGCTAATCATTTGTACCACCCAGGGACACTAATGGATACAGCTGATGTTATTTTGAAACACACCTAGAAAAGCTTTTTTGAAGCCCACATCTTTTCACTGACACCACCAACAACAATAACTAATACACAGTGTTTGGTCTTTGCCAGACACTGTCTTAAAGCGGTTTGCAGGGATCAACCCTTTTAACCCTCAACAACAACCCTAGGAGCTAGGTGCCGTGACTGCTCTCATTTTATAAATGAGGAAACAGACCCAGATGGGTGAAGTTGACTTGATTGAGACCGCAAGTTATTTTACATGAGAGCCAAGTTTTCTACATGGAGAACTTGATTTGGAAGTCCCCCCGCCCCTTCTCACTGACAAGCTTTACATTTGGTATATAACTCGAGTCTTATTCGTATGGATATTGTTTTGTATAACAGCTTTTTAAAGGGTAAAAAATATTTCTCCAAGATTTGAGTCACACACACACACACACACACAGTAGCATCTCCTTGAAAGCCCCTGTTCTATTAATAGCTCATTTTTATCTAGAGCCTATCACATGCCAGAGGGTCTCTGAGAATCTTCCCAGCCCAACTGCTGCAGTGTAACTTTTCTAGAATGTTCTAAGTCCTCTAACATTCAGCATAAATGGTTCTTGGGTTCTTTGATACTCCAATGCCTCTCCTGCCCCAATGAGGTGTCTTTAAGGGTACTGCAAGTGGCTTAAATGGGACTTGGGAGACTGGCTGCTAAAGGTGGAATCTGGGGCAGAAACCTTTCTTACGAACCCTATTTCCTCCTCTCAGATCTTGGTGGCTTTGCGACACCTTCACTTCAAGAACATCGTCCATTGTGACTTGAAACCAGAAAACGTGTTGCTGGCATCAGCTGACCCGTTTCCCCAGGTCAGTTACATACATCCTTTCCTGACTTGGGAGAATTCCAACCCTGACTAGGGGCAGTTGAAGATTGCATTAATTAATATGTGGGTTCAGCTGTACTAATTTGAGAAGAGCGGCTGCATTAAGCATTCTATTGCTCTTGTAAAGAATCCTCTCTGTCTGTGCAATTAACAACAGTAAGTTGAAAGGGTAAAGCTCAAAAGGATAGATGAGAAGCTTGAGGGGGTTTGTATGTGTTAATGATGCTGAAATTATTTGGAAAAGATTATCCAGAAAAGTAACACAACTTGAAGAATGTGACATGTCACTGAGTAGACATGAGTGAAATGGAATGTTTCACTGTGTATATTTTCACCAAAAAAATTTTGTAAAAAAAAATCTTTCCTTTAAGGTATAGGTTCAAATGCTGCAGCAGAGACCCAGCGTAAGGCATAAGTAAAACTGAAGTGTGTTTCTTACTCTGTGCAAGAGTTCGATGTAAGCAATTTGGGGCTGAAAAGGCCACCAAATGGTCCGGGGAACTCAGGCTCCTATTGCTATGTGGTTTTGTCATCTTTGTGGTGTTACTGGGACCTCATGGACTATGATGGCCCCCCACTATGCCTGCCTTCCAGCCATGGGGAAGGAGGAAAGAAATGAACCTGGATGGACCCCTTTCTTTTCCTAAGGCACATATCACATCCCATTGACCAGAACTTGATCAGATTGGTCATGCTTGACTGCAAGGGAGGCAGGGAAATGTAGTCTTTCTATTGAGTGATCATGTTGTCCATGGTGTGGTACTGTGGTATGCATAAGTACTGGACTGGTAACCACAGGAGGTTAGAAAATGTAGTCTTTATTCCAGGTGGTCATGTGGCCCTGGTATGGTGTTGTAGGATAAGCACTGGACTGGTAATTTCAAAGTCAACATTTCAAACCCACCAGCTGCTCTCGGAAACAGGGTTGACAGCACACAATAAAAACAAAAAGTCCTTGGGTGGTACAAATGGTTAAGAACTTAGCTGCTAACCTGAAGGTTGGTGGTTCATACCCACCCAGAGGTGCCTTGGAAGAAAGGTCTGTTGATTTACTTCTGAAAACCCAGCCATTGAAACCCCTATGGAATGCATTTCTGCTCTGAAACACATGGGTTCACCGTGCGTCAGAATCAACTCCTTGACAACTTTGTTTTGTTTTGCTGTTTACTTGCCTTTGGTTACAGATTCACATGTTTTGCTTTATTCTCTTTGTTTTGCAGATCATGTGGTTTAGCTCATTTCAAAAGCTGGGGTTTTCTTTAAAGTGAACTTAAAAAGTATTGTATGCCTACTATTGGAGATGCAAGCTATTTGTGATCAGCTTCTAACCTAAAAGTTGGCAGTTGTAGGATTCTTACCTTCCATGTGGGTGACCTGGGTTCGATTTCTGACCAGTGTACTTCATGCATAACTATCACATGTCTGTCACTGGAAGTTTGCATGTTGCTAGGATACTGACTAGGTTTCAGTCTAGCTTCCAGACTAAGGCTGACTACGAAGAAATCTTTGGAGATCTACTTCTGAAAGCAGCTGATCATTTCCAGCCAGCTGCAGTCATTTATAGGGATGGCGCAGGACTGGGCTGCATTGTGTTTTGTTATATGCGTGGTTGACTGAAGTCAAGGACCGACTCAGTGGAAGCCAACAATCACAACGGTACCACTTTCTAATACACAGTGTAATTCGTTTACTTATTTGGTTTTATTGTTCACTTGATTGTCCCATCCAGGGACTGGATGAGTTAGGTCCCTTACCTTAGGTTATAGAATTACTTGTCCTAGACACTGCTCCAAATACTGTACATGTCCAAAGGGACTTCAAAGATAATCGGATTTTTCTACAAACTTTTTGAAGTCCCTTCAAATTTACTCTCAAAACCATGCAACCCTTTAAGGCTGGCTTGTCAGGGTCCTTTTAGTACAAAAGAGGAAACTGAGGCACAGAAAGGGAAAGTCACTTAACCTAGGGTCACTCAGCTAGGATGCAGAGGAGCCTGAATTCGAACCAGATTTTCTCAAGAATACCATGAGAACCCCTTCACACGTGCTCCCCTCTTACCTCTCTGCCCTCCACAGGTGAAACTGTGTGACTTCGGCTTTGCGCGCATCATCGGAGAGAAGTCATTCAGGCGCTCAGTGGTGGGCACACCTGCCTACCTGGCTCCCGAGGTACTGCTCAACCAGGGCTACAACCGTTCGCTGGACATGTGGTCAGTGGGCGTGATCATGTACGTCAGCCTCAGTGGCACGTTCCCCTTCAATGAGGATGAGGACATCAATGACCAGATCCAGAATGCAGCCTTTATGTACCCGCCCAGCCCCTGGAGCCACATCTCCAAGGGAGGTGAGTCCTGCTGAGAACCTGTCTCCACTGTAGACAGGGAAGTAGGCAGGGCCAGAAGGGTGGGGCCTTTAAATGGCAGAGTCAGACCAGGCTCCTTGGGGGTGGAGCCTAGTAAGGGCGGGGCTGTGGGCTAAGTCCTGTGAATGACTGGCTCTGTGAGTTTAGAAAGAGCCGGAATGTCACAGTGGGTTAAGCGATGGGCTGCTAAGTTACACGATCAGAGTTTCAAAAACATCAGCCACTCCCAGGGATCTATTCTGTAAAGATTTAGTCTCAGCAATCTTAGGGAGGGAGCAGTTGTATTGTCCCACAGGGTGACTATATTGTTAAATACCATGGAGTCGGTTCCGACTCATAGTGACCCTGCACAGGGTTTCCGAGGCTGCAAATCTTCACGGGAGCAGAAAGCCTCATCTTTCTCCCGTGGAACAGCTGGTAGTTTTGAACTCCCGACCTTGAGGTTAGCAGCCCGATTCGCAACCACTACACTACCAGAGCTTCTTACAGGGTGGCTATGAGTTGGTATCAATTCCATGGCAGTAGATTTGATGTTTTGTTCAGAGCATGGGTTCCAGGAGAAGGTCCTTTGCCTCTTTCAGTTTGTAGATGTTATAGTTGTTATGTATCACCGAGTCGGTTCTGCCGCATAGTGACACTGTATAGTCGACTGGTGAGTTTGAACCGCCGACCTTGCAGTTCAAACCAACCTTGAGGTTGCGTGTTTATCCTACGGTGCCACACCAGGACTCAGCTTCAACTCTTGGTAACTGCCGGCAATTCTTGTTCCTGCCTGGGCTTATAGATGTATCTGGTATGTGTAAGTCTGTCTTCTCCCGTGTATGTGTCCACAAGACACCACATCTGATCTGGCCTCACTAACAAAATAAACCCACTGCCATTGAGTCCATTGCACTAGCATTTTTGAGGCTATAAATCTTTACAGGCGGAGAAAGCCCCCCCTTTTCGTCCATGGAGTGACTGGTAGATTTAAACTGCTGACTGTGTGGTTAGCGGTCCAACACATAACCCACTACGCCACCAGGGCTCAGTAGTATAACAAAGAAACCCCTATTTCCAAACGTATGTCCAGGGGTTCAATCTTCCACATTCCTTTTTTGGGGAAATCCCCAGGGTTGCCTTTCTGGGGCTCACTCTGGAGCTCCTGGATAAAATGATGTCAAGTATGTGTAAATGGATGGACAATTATGAATGAGTCTATTTTGACCAAACTGGTCCGTACTTGGATGGAGTCACTCAATGAAGCTTGCTGCTTCCAACGTTTGGTCTAGGAGAGTCCCATCCCGGGAGAAGTTGGTTTATCCTGAATGCCTGTCATTTACTAATCCTCTTCACAGCGAAAAGGATCTCACCGTCTCTGGCCTTTCTGTAGTGAAGTGAGGAGCATCTGACCTCATTCTTTTTTCTTTTCATTTTACTTCGGTAAACAGGGCAAGCGACCCTAGGATTTCTACCTACCAGGGTGGTTTAAAGTATCCACTTGAAATACATTTTATTTAACCTTATAAAGTGAATTGAAGAAAGGAAAAAAACACACAGATTAATTTTAAACCAAATTGTATCTATGTTGGCAGAAGTGAAATAGTAATTAAAGGAGAAAAAAAACAACAACCCCGTTGCTGTCATAGCAACCCTACAGAAGGTAAATACATGGTTCAGATTTTTAAATTCACAAGAGTCTGCAGTGAAAATTGTTGCTCTCCTTTGTCTGCCATTTGTCCTAAAGGTAACAGCTATTCTGAGTATCCTTGTCTCTCTTTTGAGAGAGATTTTACATGTACACAAGAAATAAACTAACAAAGCAAACCCCCATTGTCACAGGGTGAATTCCAACTCATGGTGACCCTGTGTGTGATGGAATAGACCTGCTCCACAGGGTTTCCTTCATGGAAGCAGATCACCAGGTCTTTCTTCAAACAACCAAAGGGCACATTCTGCAAGCCTGAGAGGCTATAAATCTTTATAAGAGCAGAAAGTCAAATCTTTCTCCAGCGAAGTGGCTGGTGGATTTGAACTTCCGACCTTGAGGTTGGCAGTCCACTGCTTACCCTACAGCGCCACTATAGATATTTCCTCTTGTTATACAGAAGGTATCAGATTATACACACTGTTTACCTATTTGCTTTGGTCATGTATCCAATATGTCTTGTTAAGAGAAGAATATTAAGAGTTCCTGGCTGGTGTAAATGGTTAAACATTAGACTAGTAGTTGTAAGGAGTCCTGGTATAGGATAAAGCACTGGACCGCAAAGTTGGTTTGAACCATAAGTTGGTGGTCCAAACTCACCAGCTGCTCTTTGGAAACCCTATACAGGGTTGCTATGAGTTGGAACCAGTTCGATGACACTTAACAACAACTAGTTATAAAGGTGGGGCTTCAGACCTACCCAGACGCTCCTCAGAGGACAGGTCCAGTGATCTGCTCCTGGAAGATCAGTCTTGAAAACCCTGTGTAGCATGTGGCTGAGTCAGATTGCCAGTAACAACAAAGAAGAATATTAAGTGGTGAATAATAGTACAATTCCTGGTGTGGCACCGGACTGTGAACCACAAGGTCGGCAGTTCAAACCCACCAGCTACTTCTCAGAAACCCTCTCCAGGGTCACGATGAGTGGGAACAGACTTGATGGCGCTTAACAGCAACAGTACAGGGTCTGTCTGTGACATTAGTTTTGAAGTTACCTGTCTTAGTCCTAGTGTTGCTGTAACAGATACACCACTAGTGGCTTTAACAAACAAATGGAACTTCTCAGTTTAGGACGTTAGAAGTACAAATTCAGGGTGCTGGCTTTAGGGAAAGGCTTTCTCTCTCTCTCTCTCTCTCTCTCTATATATATAT